AAAAAAAAACAGAAGACACAATTAACGGAAAAATGCGTAGTTGTTAAAATAAATGTCGTCCAACCAATATTTAAAATGATGATAAATACGTACATACATATACATACATACATACATATTTACTAGTAGAAGAAGAAGAAAACGGGGGGAAAAAAAAAGTTTAAATGCAAAAGGAAATGAATGTCCAAAAACCGATATACATACATACGTATGCACATATACATATGTATGTTGTACGGCCTAGGGGTAATCGGATATCAGTTAAATCACATATTTTAGCTGATTACTGTCCTGGGCATCTTCTGATAAGCTACTGTTATTCAAATCGGCTTCAACACCCATCTAAACACAAACAGAATCGGTGTAATTTGCATCATCATTTTATATTATTATTTGTGTATAATTTGCGTATCAAAGCATACGTGCATACATACATACATACATATGTACCCAGTCGGAAAAGTAGTAATGCATTACATGCGTGATGAATAGTGTAATGCATTTCTTATGAGTTCTCGATTCTATTACTTTTAACTATGCTGATTACAGTAATGTATCCAAAAAGTCCCAAAAATTTTATATTAAATCACATTCATTTCTCTATACTTGGCAATGCAAAATTGAATGACCCGCTCTTCTTAGGACATCGCCGTGTGGAAAAAATTCATTTCCGAATGTGAAAAGGTGTACGCGCATATAATTGTGTAATACAGCCCAGAAAGCATAGCAATTGATGAAAATATACCAGGGACCGCAAATATTATTTTTCAAATTTCAACAAAAAAATCAAACTGTGAAAGAATTGTTGCGCACATAAGGAGTACACCAGCATAATCCTTGTTAGTTATATTAAAAATCTCAACTTCAATTATCTTTCAAGTTTTTTTTACTTGCTAAATGAAAGATATATTTAAGATTTTTTGGTTTTTTTTTTTTAACTATTAAAGTGAAAACTCTCACCAGAAAGTTATTGCTCGAGCATAAAATAAAACTCCATAAATAACTAGTACTCGATAAATGACTTTTATTTTCTTTTCTTTTATAAAACTCCAAAAATAACGACTAAAAAGTATTTTTCTAAATATTCGTTACGGTCCCTGGTAAATGCTCATAGAAATGTTAAAATCAAGCAATTTTTCATTAGTGTTTTCTTATCCAATCAATTGTATAAATTATGATTTCTTAAAAAAGAAACACTCGTTAAATCCACAACTGCATTATCGGTGAGGCATCATTTAAAGTAGTATGTTTTTCGATTCTTATTTGTTGTACATTTCGACCGCATTTTATGTTACTTCACTGTTTTCTGTTTTCTAGTTTTTAGTCAAATGATGTAAATTGAAAACTTTCGTTTCATTGGCAGCTTATAATGCATTTTCAATAATATATTTATTTGGAAAATGATGAAGGCTATTGGACATTTAAAATCTATAATCAGAGGTTAGACTTAATGAGATAAGAAATTCACACATAAACATATCCTAAAAGAAAAAAACAATAACTTTACCCATTTACTATTAAAGTGCATTTTTTTCTAGAAGATATTCAAATTTGTTGAATATAATGGAAAATCAAAAAAGATTTTAGTGTTTACATTTGACATACATACATACATACATATGTATGCATGTAAATGCTATGAATGAAAATTAAAATTAAAGAAAAACGCTTCCAATATTTCCCTTGTGGGGTACAAAATTTTCCAAATTACCTACTCGTAGAATGTACTCTGAAATGCAATCAGAGTCCTTCCTGTTCCGCATATTTTCAAAACAAAAAAAAAAAAAAAAAAAAAAACAAAAAACAACGCATATTTTAGAGATGATGTATGGTAGATACCGTTGAAATTAAAAAATAAAACATTACAAAACTGAATTGAAAATTACGAGAAAACTTTTTACAAACAATCCTATAAAAATTTACGAATGCAGCTAGATATCACACTTGGTGAGCAATCAATTAATTTTATTTTATTTATAACAATAAAGATGTAGTATTTTAGAAACATAATCAAAGGCGTAAGCCCACTCTATTTTAGTGTGCGTGTGTTAGTGCTTCGGTCGCGTCGCGGTCGCAGTATATAAAAATATCCAAACTCTTCCTGTTTATCACTGAAGAGCACGCAAAGGAAAAAAATTCTCAAATTATTGTCAAACGAAAAATGTTGAACATCTTATAGTTGTTTTAGAATGACAAAGGATAATGACATACATACATATACAGTGTATGTATGATTCGTCATGAGCTATTTAAGTATTTATGGAAAGCAGATTTTTACAAATTTTTGCATGCGGCAGTTTTCGATGACCGATTCTGGCGCGTTGCAAATTGAAATGCTAAAAATTATACAGGCCATACGTATACATACAAAATAGTTTTAAACAAAAGAAAGGCCTACCAAACAAAACACACAAATGAACAAATTAAAAGCACAAACTGCAACAAATATATTCATAATACATACATACTATGTAGATGATGGAAAACTTCCATAAGAGGAGTTGTTTAACTTATGGTGTGAAAGTAAATAATATGACCCCAATATGTAATAGCAAGTAGAAATTTGTACAAGTATATATTTAAGAGTCGAGCAATTTAGATGAACCAAAATTGAAACAAAAAAAAAATAATGTACGAGTGTTGGAAAATTATGACTTGAAGTATTTATTAATCACTTAAAACTCGCGCAAATTATTAATCAAATTATTACAATCGAGTGTGGAGTAAAATTACATCCTCGCACGCGTATGGATGTCACTATCCACCGCACGGCAACAAATATGAGAACAAATGTACACATGTGTATACATACATATGTATGTAAAACTTTTTAATAATCTAATTGTCCAAGTTCATTGGATTTTATTAATGATAGATATTATTTTATGCTTATAAATTATTTTACTCGAAGCCAAAGTTTAATCTCTTAATGAGATACTATTATCTAATTATTTTTAGTTTGTAGTTCGTTTACTTTAGAATATACTTTTAAAAGTTTCACAATTTATTAATCGACACTCAGTACCAATGTCGAATAAAAAGTGTTTGCAAAAACGTCTTTTCAGTTTATTTGTACACTAAGTAGAATAGATGTTAACAAAATAAATACAAAAAAAAATTACTAAAGAAAGAGTAGTATTTTATGACTACATACATACATACACACATACATAGTAGTAGTTAAAAGTGAAATCAAATCCATCAATTGCCAAATTACTTGTAGCTTTGAATTGAAGAATAAAGTTGAAAAATGCAAAAACAAAAATTTAAGTAAATAACAAAAAGGCAGTGCTAGCGGTAGTAAAAAATAAGTAAACATATACATACATAAAGAGGAGAACCCTAAAAAATATAGAAAACGTGTGAAAGCCTCAATATTTGCGATTTCAAAATGCAAGTACACGTCAGCAGCCCTTTATGCGCGTTTGCCAGCTCGGCAGCAGCATAAATGTGTGCTATGACAACACGCTACCACTATTGCAAACAATAAACTTAGCTACTTAGCTACTTCCGAGTTTGTTTTCAGGACGATATTTGTTACGTTCAGACACTTTTACCACTGCAAAGCATAAGTCAGTCAAAAGGTAAAAAAAAATAAAGCTTGGATATCATTCACGTGTTCTTCACGTCCGTTCCGGGCGTTCTTGTAACTCTCATCAGAGTTATGCGAAACTTATCCAATTTCAACATTTAAAATGTGCTTTAACCATTTTCAGCCAAGCCAATTAACAAAAAATGTGGTATGTCTTCACTTCTCACCGCAATTATTATACAAAGAAGCTGAAAATCACTTAAAAATCTTATCTTGAATTATGTAGCTCGTAAAAACTTTTTAAAACTCACAAATAAAGATTTAAAATGTTAAGTAATTAAAATATGACAAGGCCTCAATTCAAAGACCAGATGATAACAAAGTGGTAGGAATAAATTACACTTGTAAGCTTACCATTAGAGTTAAATTCAGAAAA